CTGAATAAAAAAAAAAAAAAAAAAAAATTTGCGACTTTTTATCTCACAATTGCGATATAAAGTCGCAATTTTGAGAAATAAAGTCGCAATTGCGAGATAAAAAGTCGCAATTCTGAGAAATAAAGTCGCAATTGCGAGATATAAAGTCGCAATTATGAGAAATAAAGTCGCAATTGCGAGATATAAAGTCGCAATTCTGAGAAATAAAGTCGCAATTGCGAGATATAAAGTCGCAATTATGAGAAATAAAGTCGCAATTGCGAGATATAAAGTCGCAATTTTGAGAAATAAAGTCGCAATTGCGAGATATAAAGTTGCAATTCTGAGAAATAAAGTCGCAATTGCGAGATATAAAGTCGCAATTATGAGAAATAAAGTCGCAATTATGAGAAATAAAGTCGCAATTGCGAGAAAAAAAGACAGAATTGCGACTTTTTATCTCACAATTCTGACTTTATGACACACAATTGCGAGTTTATATCTCGAAATTCTGACATCTTTTCTCAGAATTGTAAAATATAAACTCGCAATTGCGAGTTATCAGGCCAATTCTAAGGGGGAAAAAAGACTAACTTTTTCCCCCTCAGAATAGTTTATATCTCACAATTCTGACTTTACAACACGCAATTCCGCCTTTATATCAATCAATTCTGACTTTATATCTCGCAATTCTGACTTTATAACACGCAATTGCGATTTTATATCACGCAATTCTGACTTTATATCGCGCAATTTTGAGAAATAAAGCCAGAATTGCGAGAAAAAAAGTCAGAATTGTGAGATAAAAAAGTCGCAATTACCTTTTATATTTTTCATTCTGTGGCGGAAACAAGCTTCCATATAAAAGAGATAAAAAGAATAACAGAAACACCAAAACTCTGCTCAATCATAATGGTCATTAAAAATAGTGAAGGCCTCATCAAATAAATAAAGTACCATAGTATCTGATATCATATTTGAGCAGTCTTTTACTATGATAATACCATGATATTTTGTAAAGTACCATTTGGAGGCATGTAAATGAATTCCCTGCTATATTTATATGGTCATATATTAGTATCTGACACTGCCACAGTACGTTTTTGTATATGAATTCTCAAGAAATATAAATGCAAAACAACTAATCTGTTCCTGTCTAACACACACACACACACACACACACACACACACACACACACACACACACACACACACACACACACTGTGGTTCAGTGGTTTAGCGTCTGGACGGGAGTCGTTCTGTCTGAGAGACTCAGTGTCCAAGCAGGGAGGAAGTGCACAGTGTTTCTCAGGGGGACGGTCCCCATACAAACTGTGTGTGTGTGTGTGTGTGTGTGTGTGTGTGTGTGTGTGTGTGTGTGTGTGTGTGTGTGTGTGTGAGAATTTGTTTATAATTTGTTTATCTGTGTCTATGTTACTGTACGCCGTGTGTGTGCACTGACAAGTCCAACTGACACAGCAAGACTCTGAATAAATGTACCTGAAGACATCGAGTGAATCAACAGCGAGGACGAAACGCTTGATGGACATAAAAAGCCACACACACACACACACACACACAGATGCAGTCTTTGCTGTCTTATCTACACATCTGCATAATACAGAGTAGCAAGAGTGCGTAGATATGCATAGTTTACATTTCTCCCTTACTTAACACGCTCTTGCTGTTTTTTTTTTCGACCCGCACTCTTTTCCGGCACTAATCGCTTCCATCGCAGAAGAGTGCAGCTGCTCTCACAAACACACACACAAAACACAAGCGTCGCTTGGATAAACAACAGTCTGCGAGGATGTGCATGTCTGAGATGCACTGAAATGCAAGACTTTCATGCAATAAAATATTTTTTTGTTTAACAATCTCGACTAAACATTTACGCTTCTCTCTGTACACAAACATTTCATTTTGCATTCTGCTCTCAAAGCACGCAAACACACCTGTTGCAAACATTGCCCCTATTATGCTGCGTTCAAATGATGATGCAGACAAAAGAGGGCAGGACAAAGGAGTGTGTATGCATTCGTATGTGTATCGCAGGTCCAGGCATGTGTGTTAAAGGCAGGCATGGAGGGCTATATCAACGAAATCACATCGGGCCTTGAATAGAGCCCTGTGGGACCCCTTACTCCTTTCCCAGAAGCTAGTCATTCTGTTGACTAACTACTCTGTCATCTCAATTCACACGTCATGCATACCATCAGAAGTTGTCCCAAGAGATGCGTTTTGAATTTTGAATATCTAAAATACAGGCCACAAAAATGTCATTACTGCACACAGAGAAGTGCTTCAAACGTCAAAGCGCTGGACAGCTAGCTAGTGTATATAGAGGCTCGTGTTTTAAATAGATAAGACCTGCAGTATTTGACTGCCACAGGAAGCGACTGGTAATGGTCTGTGTTGATGTGTGAGCGCTGTATCAACACAAATAGGAACATATACGCAATTAACCAAGCATGTACACACACACAGACTTCTGTGCACCGCAGACACTGCATTAAAATATCTCCGTCACGGCTCAGCGGTGAGTCTCATCCACCGTGTTTCCTTCGCTCAAACATATTGAGTGAGTTTTATGCATGTGCATCGTCACTTCTAACCTCGTCCGCTGCGGCCGACGAAACGCAGGTCGTTGAAACGGGCCACTTGGTTCTTGATGGCGGCCGTGGCGTTTCGAAGCTCGGCAGAATAATTCTCATCGTTGCCGGCCATCACAGTGACCAGTGTGCCGTCAGGGATGTCGCCGAGGGCAACCACCTGTCAATCAATGAATGAGCAAGATATGTTACATCAAAACTCTATTTTACAAACAATCCAAAAATACAACGTACGACAATTATCACACTACGTTGCATTGAAAAGTCATGGATAATGAAGAAGTCGAGAACTAAAAAAAAGCGACAACTATTAATAAAATGATTAAAAATAATAAAATCGATTTCTCTATTTGAATACGTTTTAAAATGTAATGAATAAATAATGCTTAGTTATTATTATCATCAATGTTGAAAATGGAAACTTTTTGCGGAAACTGAGATCCATTTTCTTCAGGATTCTTTGATGAACAAAGTTTTAAAGAACAGCATGTTCTCAAATGTAACATTTTAAAAGTTTTTACTGTCACTTGTGATAAATTTGATGCATCTCTGCTGAGTATTAATTTGTTTAAATAAAAAAATCGTATTGACCCCAAACACTAGTGTGTACTGTATATGCAACTGAACATTATTAACATGTATATGTATATATTTCCTGTAATTTCGTTATTATTATACTTACCAATAGATCGTATTAATAAACATATTCAGTGACAAAAACATTGGGCAGATACTGAAACCCAAACTACATTCAAATCCTCTATACTGTCCTGCGTCACATCCACTTGTGCAATATCTCCATATCTAAACTAAATGAGCCGGTTATTTGCATATTAACTGTAAATGTCAGCTCATTCTTCATCTCTTTGTTTCAGAGAGCACACATGCCTCGCAGGACTACGCTCTGCTTTTGGCAAGACCGGGTGGTTCGTCATTTGCCAAATGCGGAAGATGATGATGAAAGATGTTGCGGTCACCCGTGACAACAAGAGATTAGCAACAATTACTGACGTTTCCCTCCAAATCATTAGCTTAATTAGGATGTGCATTAAAAAAAACCAACGTGAGATTGTAAGATTTTAAAATGTCCATATCAGCACTTAGCACAAGTCTGTCTGATAGTCAAGTAGACCTAATATGTCATTACTGCGAGTTTAATTTAAAGTTGCGGTTGTGCAAATGTACCGTATTTTCCGGACTATGAGTCACACTTTTTTTCATAGTTTGGCTGGTCCTGCGACTTATACTCAGGTGCGACTTATATATCAAAATTAATTCAGACTGAGATGAACCAAGAGGAAACTTGCTTGTTGGACTCACTGGCTTGTGTTAATTTAGCCTATTCAGCCTCCCAGGTACAGTACATGTTCTTTATGTGTAGCTGAATAACTTAATGTGTTGCGTTAACACACCGGACACCTATTCCGCCTGTTGTTCTGTGTGCTGTTGTGTAGCTGCCTTTCCAGATTAAATGTCTGTTCTTGGTCTTGAAATAAATTTCTAAATAAATGCGACTTATAGTCCAAGTGCGACTTATATGTATATTTTTTTCCTCTTCATGACGTATTTTTTGACTAATGCGACTTATAGTCTGGAAAATACAGTATTTGAGATTACTACTGCTACAATTGGCAACTTTAAAAATGTATCTCATACAGGTGAAACTCGAAAAATTTGAATATAGTGCAAAAGTTCATTTATTTCAGTAATTCAACTTAAAAGGTGAAACTAATATATTATATAGACTCATTACATGCAAAGTGAGATATTTCAAGCCTTTATTTGTTATCATTTTGATGATTATGGTTTACAGCTTATGAAAACCCCAAATTCAAAATTAGAATATTGTGAAAAGGTTTTCATAAGCTGTAAGCCATAATCATCAAAATTATAACAAAAAAAGGCTTGAAATATCTCACTCTGTCTATATAATATAGTAGTTTCACCTTTTAAGTTGAATTACTGAAATAAATGAACTTTTGCACGATATTCAAATTTATCGAGTTTCACCTGTATGTTTAATGGTTGAATCAACATGACTAAATTGGTTTACAGTTAGAACAAATAGAAACACTCTTAAGGAAACACATGCATTCTTCTTCTTCATGTTGCCCAGTTTCAGTAACCCATTAGATGTCTGTGGTGGAGTACCTTGAAAGCGATGGGCAGGGTCTTGTTGCAGCGCCAGTGTGTTGGCAGGACGGAGCAGAGGAAGTTTGGGCTGTCGGTGCGCACCAGTTCTCCTGGGTGGTCTGAGAGCACCTCCACCATGCTCCGGTCAGCCATGCGCAGTTTCCCCACCAGGGCGGCGCCACTGCTCTCCTGAGCGCCCAGAGGCAAACCCTCGTTCATCTTCCCCGAGCTCAGGGTCGTCGAGGGAGGCGTGAAGCGTCGCCCAGGCGCAGGTTCTGAAACACACGTGTGCATTAGGCCTTTAATGAGAACATTTAAAACGTTTACAATATTGCACTTTTGCAATAACAGTAAATGAGATGCTTCTTTGTTGCATTGCTCTGCACTTGGGCAGAATTATTATTTCTAGTAAAATTAGCTATCAAACATCGGCATCTTATATAAAACACATTTGCGGCCTTCGATTACAGTGACTTTACTTTGAGTTGGGCCAAAAAAAAAACACTACTTAACCATAGTAAAATTACTATAATGCATGGTAACTGTAAGTAAAAATGAAGTTTGTAATATATCACTGGTAAAAAAAAAAAAAAATCAAATGTTTCAAAAATGTATTTTTATAAAATGAGATCTAAAGTGAGACTGAATGAGTAACATTTTATGCCCCAGGACCTTCATATACACACATGTGAATTGATGCATTGCTTGGCACTGCATTACTAAGCAGAATAATTGTTTTTAGTAAAATTATTTATTTAAACACTGGTATCTTGAATAAAAGACGTTTGCGGCCTTCTATTACAGTGACTTTACTTTGAGTTGGGAGAACAAAACATTACTTACTATAATGCATGGCAACAATAAGACGAAATATAGTTTGCAATATCTCACAGTTGCAAAAACATAACTCAAAAATGTATTTGTTAATGTATTTATATCAAATGAGATCTAAAGTGAGCAACATTCGATGCCACTGACGACAGGACCTACATATGCAAGTTAATGCATTGCTCTGCACTGTATTATTATAGGCAGAATAAGCAATACGACTCTTGCAGCCGTGAATTACAGTGATTTTGAGTTCAGACAAAAAAACATGAAGTGACGAGATATAAGCCATGAGAAGCGTGAACTGACTTTACCGCAATTACGTAATTTTCACTTTTGTTATTCAACTGAATAATATATCATTTTATGCAATGGCTATAGAAATGCACAGTTTTGGTCATGCCCATACATAAAAAAATTTAAAAAAAAAACTTTTTCCGAGCAATTCAGGTGCCGTATCCCTGGTTGACTTCTGTGCCTCAGAGGCGCATGAAAGCTTTAAACCCGTCAGGCCTGCGGTCGTTCGGGCCGACCACAATCAATGCCACATGAGTGCTGAACACGTGACGGAGAACCACTGCGCTCTCCAATACAAACACAAACCTGGAGTCTGTGACGGGTGTTTGGGGCGAGTGGGAGAAGGTGTAGAAGAGAGAGAGAGAGAGAGATGCCGGACGCCATATAGGCCAGACATTATGAGACTTAAAGAACGAGACGAGATTCCTCTTCTCAGGAGAATCCCAAAAGACGGATGTGGGATGAAAACTAGATTTTTTTAAAAGGTATTCTGCTTTTGTTCTAAAAACTCATTTGCCAAGCTCTTAAAAATATAATCTTTACATCTCATACATTGTCTACACATTCTGGTTTAATGGAAAAACATAACAACCATGGTCTAATAATCTAACCATTGTTCAAATCAGTAAAAAAAACAATATTGGTTACACTGTAACAGTGTAATTATACATAATAATAATAAATAACTACATGAACTTAGTTGGGATTAGTTGCATGTAGTTATGCACAATTCAGTAATTACTAAACTACACATTACATGTGTTACAAGGACACTAAAATAAAGTGTTACCAAAGTATTTTACATATTATTCATGAATTCTCTAATGGTTCCATTGGACCTGAATAAAACATCAATGTTCATAAAAAGGTTGAAATGCAATATAAATTTAAAAAAAAAAAAGTAATGATAATTGACACACAATCTGTTTTATGGTTTTCTTCTCATATGACAACATAATGTTTTCCTATATTCTGGATACACCGCACTGACTCTGACTCAGCAGGCAATCTTTGGGGGGGAAATATTAATAATATTTTTACAATCTCTGGGACAGTTAACACATACAAGAACAAAAAATATCAAAATGGCTTTTAATTGAGGAATTTAAAACATGAGGAATTTAAAATCATGGTACTTCAGTTACGAAAAAGTATTTTTTTTTGTATATAAATTGTGCATTTCTGAATAACATATCTGCCTATCATATTCATATTTAGTCTTATTTTTCATCTCTTTCTTGCTCATATTTAGTTATATTCATATACTTATTCATTTTTGCTCATGTTGCTGATTGTTCATATCGAACTATTTTGTTTGTTAACACTTTTGTACTATTGCTATTTTGCATGATTTTAATTATTTTACACTGCTTTCTTTCTTTGACAGTAACTGTGCAGTTTTTGTGTGAAGGCGAGAGACAGAGAATCTGTAGTATTTTGCCTAGGGGAATGTCACATTAACATCATGCTTTAGGTTAAGGTTAAAGGTTTCAGTGATTATTAACAGCTTTGGACATTCAGATATTATGAAACATGACGCGTAAAAATAGACTCGTGAAACCGCCGTTACGCATGTGTCCAGAGCTCACAAACGCTCTTACCGTATTTGGCGTCCCAAAGAAAAACCATTTGGTATCTTTTGAACACCGTCTCAGTCAGGATCGGGATCGGGATCGGGATCGGGATCAGGATCCCAGACGAGCAGCTGATTCTGACGCGCGCGACTCAAGGGCACGAGCTCAAGCTTACTATCCTTTTGGTGAGGTGAGAAAACCTGCGGACCAGTCTAAAACTGAACTCTGATCAGTTCATGTAGAAGTTGTTCCTCTTTCAGCAGGAGACATCAGAGAGGATGATTTGGCACGCGCGTATCCTTTGGAAAGTGCGCGTGAAGTTGCGCACCTGACGCCGACGCATTCGCGGTCTTAAAACTATCTAAAAAAGTGCATTCACTCGCTTGTATACGAGTGTAATACTGTTGAGAGAAAGTATTCTTCCTGAATCCAGCTCGCGGTGGGAATGATGATGCGTTGTGAGTGAATGAATCCGCGCTTTTACTGGCACTGGGCAGCGCAGGAACGCCAGCCAGGGCAGCTCATTTGCATACGCCTCCTCCTCGAACGCTCTCATTGGACAGTGATGACAGACCTCGATGGGCTCGGCCAATCAGAAGACCGTCCGAACCGAGGGGGAAAAAATGGATCTGAGCAGTCAATGGAATTCCTCGCGCGTGCTTCGACGCGCGCTCTCGCTGATTCACAGTTGCTTTGGATTTAAGTTACTTATCAAACGGAACTGAATATCAGGTGAAAATGAAATACAGCAGGGTAAATTACAACAAACACAGCTTGTTTAATTCTATTCTATTCTATTAAGAAATCATATAAACACTTTTTAGATCAAATAAAAGAGACACCGATTATTACGCATGTCAATACAGTGGGAGAAAACATTAAGCTTGTTTTGTTCCAGCAGATTTTGTTTTCTATTTTATCAGAAGGAACATGATATCAGCAGAACAAGCAGATTCTCATTATAGCAACTTCAAATAAATTAGATGACGAATAAATTCAGTAAAAAAAAGTTAAAATTTAAAATGTCCAAGAGTAAGAAAAATTCACAATAGTCAAACGTCCTTAACTACTGTTTAGTATTATTTCTAGGACAAAGATAGCAGATGAAAACTGCTGATCTAATCTGATGTGTGTTACAGCCAACAGGGGGCAGCAGGCGATCTGCATCATGATCTGCGAGAGTGTGTGGAGTGTGTTAGGACTTATAGAGTGTGTGTTAGGACTTATAGAGAGTGTGTTAGGACTTATAATGCATGAAGTGGAAACGACAAGAAGCAACACAGAAATGTTTTGTCTTCTTTCGGTAAAACTAATAGAATTTGAATTCTGAATACTGTAAATACTGAAATCAGGGGCTCACACACGTTTTTGTTTTTGCATGGTAATATAACAATAACTGGACGTTATTATATAAAATTATAATAACTGTTTTAAGGCCAAATCCAGAACAAATCATCATTGATTATTAAACTGTGCTTTTGAGGTTCAGGACTGTAAAAGTCCCACAAGATTGAGTTTTATTAATCAGGAGTGATTCAGAACAATAACACCAAGAACTAAACGTTCTGGTTCTCTTCTGGTCATGATTCATTTGTAAAACTGTAAAGATCTGCTTTATGAGATCCGTGTTATTCACGTCTCATCTTCCTTGTTGTTTGTACCGAACATTAAATATAAAACAAAATGCAAATCCTGATGTCAGTCACTGTGAAAATACGGACTGTCCTGTTCATTCTTACATCAGAACTTCAGTCCGGCGTTTGATTTTTACCCTGACGTTTATCTGATTATGAACATATATAAATCATTTGAGTTAATCTGAGAATAAAGACTTCATATCTGAGTCTAGGACAGGGACAGGAATATATATACACATAATATATTACATTCATTGTCCTTTTTAGTTAATCTTTTCAAACTATACATAATCATGTTTGTAACTGTGTTTATATTGAGAATAAAATAATATCTATTATAAATATTAAAATGAATCATTTTTTAGGCTATATATTATAATTAGGTAACACGTTATTTTAAGGTGACGTACATGTTACTGCATTTATAACAGAAAATTATACATAATTACAAGTAATTAACCCTGAAACAAACCTTAACCGTAACTCTATAGTAAGTACATGTATTGAGTAAGTACAACGTAACTACGTCACCTTCAAATAAAGTATAATCTATAATAATACTAATAAATATTAATATTAAACATTAAAAGTGCCTGAAAAAAAATACAATGAAAAGACACGATCCCTAATTAAAATTTGCATGATATAGTTTAAAACTGAATGTTATATTGTATGAATAATAATTTGGACAAATAAAGCATATAAAAACAGCTGAATCTGAAAGCAAAGATCAGTTTCAGGGGAAATAATATAACATGCACGCCAATCATAAATGATTTTCTAGCACAAAGGCACCGCAGGTCTCGGACGCGTCTTGTGTTTTACTGATTTAGAGAAATCTGATCTCGGAAAGTTGAGCAATCAATAGCGCTTGTAGTCGGCTATAAAATATATTGACAAGCGTTGCAGGGTTACAAATATCTGATCATGTTCGGCCGC